CACATGACCCTGCTCTTCTTTTAGGATAATTACAGTCCTGCTGAGGGGGAGGGGATGCAAAAGTTCCCATCTCCGCTCATCGCCTCTACTTCTACCACACGCAGCCGATCCTCGTTCAATCTCCGTGTAATGTTCACATTTCAGGTGGCCGCAGGATGGTTTCATGGTAAAGATCTGAAGCAGCAAGCAGGACATGACTCCCATATGGTCTAGTGGTCAGGATTCCTGGGTGCGATGAGAGAGGTCTCTGCTCATGTGACTCCCATGTGGAGTAGTGGTCAGGATTCCTGGATGCGATCAGAGAGGTCTCAGCTCATGTGACCCTAGGGTTGCCACCTGTCCAGGATTCACCCGGACAGTCCGGGTTTTGAATGATGCTGTGTCCGGGTTTCATGGCAGCAGAAACCCGGACACAAGATGTCAGGCAGACAGGGGCAACCAAAATTAAGATAGGGGCTACTGGCCCCCCACTGAAAATAGTCTCAACTGTGATATTTACATATGAATGGGTGGCGCTATTTATATATCAATAAGCCACGACTCATTCTCCCAAAAAAATGTCTGCGTGTCGCTAGAGTGTTCGGGTTTCACTTGAAGAAAAGGTGGCAACCCTATGTGACCCCCATGTGGTCTAGCGGTCAGGATTCCCGGGTGTGATCAGAGAGGTCTCAGCTCATGTGACCCCCATGTGGTCTAGCGGTCAGGATTCCCGGGTGTGATCAGAGAGGTCTCAGCTCATGTGACCCCCATGTGGTCTAGCGGTCAGGATTCGCAGGTCTGATCAGAGAGGTCTCAGCTCATGTGACCCCCATGTGGTCTAGCGGTCAGGATTCCTGGGTGTGATCAGAGAGGTCTCAGCTCATGTGACCCCCATGTGGTCTAGCGGTCAGGATTCGCAGGTCTGATCAGAGAGGTCTCTGCTCATGTGACCCCCATGTGGTCTAGCGGTCAGGATTCCTGGGTGTGATCAGAGAGGTCTCAGCTCATGTGACTCCCATGTGGAGTAGTGGTCAGGATTCCTGGGTGCGATGAAAGAGGTCTCACCTCATGTGACCCCCATGTGGTGTAGTAGTCAGGATTCCTGGGTGTGATCAGAGAGGCTTTGCTCATGTGACTCCCATATGGTCTAGCGGTTAGGATTCCTGGTTTTCACCCAGGCGGCCCGGGTTCGACTCCCGGTATGGTCGTATTTTTTTTTTCAATAACATTTTGCTGTAAAAAAAAGTTTTCGTTAAAAAAATGTCAAAATAGGAGAAAGCTTGCGCTGCTCCCGGCACACGCAACATACATGTTACATTCCCCCGACCACGGCAGCCTGTACTGTATGTTACGGTGATGATGTATATTACATAGTCCGAGCCTCTGGGTGATATATTCACCTCTGAGCACAGACAGATCCCCGCTGTACACTGATCCCCGCGGTGTACTGATCTCTATGGTACAATGATCCCCGCGCTCAGTCCTCCCAGCTCCTTCGATAGCTCAGCTGGTAGAGCGGAGGACTGTAGAGGAATGCTGTGCAGGGATCCTTAGGTCGCTGGTTCAATTCCGGCTCGAAGGAAGTTTTTCCTGATTGGTGGAGAGTCGGCTCCGCGCTCTGCTGACCTTCTTTTAGGATAATTACCGTCCTGTCGGGGAGGGGCTCACCGATCTCCCGTACTGATGGTGTACCGGGTCATGTGACTCCCATATGGTCTAGCAGTTACATGTGTTGTATGTTGCACTGTACTATGTCATGTGTTGTATGTTGCACTGTACTATGTCATGCGTTATGTGTACTGTACCGTGTGTTGGAGCATCATTCACAATGTATATCACCATAACACAGAACGCACAGAGCCGCCACATTGCCATGCGTGTGTCGTCCAACACACAACTATGACTGGGTCCTACACGGGACTATTCACCTTCAGCCGTATTTCTCCCAAATTATTGTATAGTCCCCTCCCCCGCCATTAAGGTTAAATCTAATTAAAACACATCCCCAAAAATTCTAAAGCCCCTCCCCCGACACACACACACACGCTTGACAATTCTGGGGGTTTATGTGAGAAGATGTGTGTGCAATTCCAGCTGGGAGCTGACGGGGTTAATGCCTAAATCCCTCCCCTCCCCCACACACACGAGGAGGGGTCCCATCTTCCTCACCATCCCTCATATACACAGCACAGGAGGAAGTAGTTGTGGAGGACATGAAGTGATGTAGGCTGTCGGCCCCCCTCCCTCACACACACAGCACTGGAACACAGGAAGTGATGCAGGCTGACACACACACACACACACAAAAAACAGCACTGGAAGACAGGAAGTGATGTAGGCTGTCAGCCCCGCCCCCCTCACTCCCTCACTCACACACACACAGCACTGAAAGACAGGAAGTGATGTAGGCTGTCAGCCCCGCCCCCCTCACTCCCTCACTCACACACACACAGCACTGTAGGACAGGAAGTGATGTAGGCTGTCAGCCCCGCCCCTTCCCTCTCCTATCCCTGCCCCCCATCTCCTCTCTCTGTGGTGTTGTTTGCAGGGAGACCTCCGGGGATGAGTTTTGTGGTGCGCAGGAAGGCGCGGGCCGCGCTGGCCATCGCCATGGTGAACTGCTACAGGAAGCTGAAGAAGCACAAGCGTCACCGCGCGTTCTGGACGAAGGACTACCTGGCCACCCGGGACTCCATGCCTCAGACCTCCATCCTGCCAGAGATCCGGGAGAACGACCCCGACGATTTCCGCAACCTGCTGAAGATGTCCGACGAGAACTTCAACCATCTCCTGAGGAAGGTGACGCCGCTGATCCAGAAGCAGGACACGTGTATGAGGAAGTCCATCTCCGCCGAGCAGAGGCTGGTGGCCACCCTGAGGTTCCTGGCCACCGGGCGCTCCCTGGAGGACCTCAAATTCTCCACCGCCATCTCCCCGCAGGCGCTGGGGGTCCTGATCCCCGAAACCTGCCACGCCATCATCCAGGTCCTGAAAGGGAAGTACTTCCGGGTGAGTCGCCGATCACGTGACCGCGGCCATACGTGGGTGAACATGGCGCGTGCGTTCACATT